AGTAGTCTTTTAATAGATAGATGAGTAATTGTCTTCGATAAAAAAAATTATAAATTTATTTAGTTTGATTATTAAAGTGAATTTATTATTCGCCAACCCCCAGAAATCCGTGTTTTAGTATCGAAAAAATATTATTCTTGTGATGGGATGCCTTATTTTTATGCCTGTTCATAAAAAATCTCAGCTCTCACTGACCGATTTTAATAACCAATACGTAAAAAGTATCTAGTTTAAACCTAGTTAAACCAATTATCACAAACAAATTTAAAATCACCCTCAATTTAAAAAATCTAAAAAATTATCTCAAAATTACGCTACCCTGAAAATTTTAATTTTTAAAACTTTTTTTCTGCATATTAAATCTGCTATAAATTTTTTATAATAAAACTGATCTAAATGAAATTTTAATTATACTAAAGACAATAAACTTTCTTTTAGTATGCTATTTATGAAAATCCAATAAAAATCTAAGTAAAGATTAGTTTTAAAAGAGATCACCTATACATATAAAATATTTTTTTTCAACTCAATTTTTAACAATATTCCGAAATGACTGCGTTCATAAAACCTTTAAATTTCATAATAAAGTAAAGATTTTGAAGTGTATTACAATATTAAATACTTTTAAAAGTACTTTATGATGGAAAAAACAAACGTTTCTACAATTATTTTCTATGAGAAATATGACTTTGAATTTGAAAATTGTAAAATTTCTGTTACAATCCGTCGTTTTTTTTATTTTGCTCTAACTCTTCCGAAATTACATAATTCCTAATAAAATTTTAAAAAGGTATACTAGAGATAATAAGCTCCATTTTGATATACAAACTAAATATAGATTTTTAGCTTCTATCCAATGCTAAAAAATATTGGTTTTGTGAAATATTTATTTGTATATATGTAGCCTCGTTCCGAAAATAAAAATGTTTTTTAATTACAAATCACCCAAATACATTTACTAAAACCAATAAATAAGATTTAAAAAAAGAAGGTTATTCCCAGGGGCGTGCCTAGGTGGTTGTTTTGGGGGTTCAAACCACCTCCAAATTGACTTTTTAAATTTTTAACCTTATTTTTTCCATGAAGTAAAAATTATTTATTATAGTACATTACAGTCACGGTGAAATAAAATTTTGTTTTTATAAGATTAAGTCTTCAAATGTGTTTTTAATATTTATATTAAAATATTATAGATTTTAAAGAATACACTTGGGATAGTTTATTTTATACCTCCTTATTTTAATGATATAATTGTAAATTTAATACTAAGATCATAAAATTTATTGGAAATATTTTAAATATATTATTCAAGTAATTCAAATTGTTCGAAAATAATTAAAATATATGTTTTTGTTTCAATTTATGTTTTTTTTAAATTACACAAATAAAATTAATAAAATCGATATAATATTGTTGTTCTACAATGTAAGAATGGGATTAGCAAAAATAAGTGTTTAAATAACATTTTTTTTATTGAAGTAGCAAAAAAAACCATCAACGAACAAAAATTATTTGAAGCGTTAAGTATTATTCCAAATAGCGAGGATTTTTAAATACAAATGAAAAAAAAAAATTATTTATTTTGTAATATTTATTTAAAATTTTATATATATGTAAAGTATATTTCTTAAATTTAGTTGAACTAGCTCATCTACTGGAAAAATAAATCTAAATGCTGAGCATACCTTAAGGGATCATTAAGTTAATTTTCCCTTCTAAATATTTTTACACTATAATTATGTTTTTAATTACTTGGTTTATTTATTAAATATTTTAAAATACATAAAAAAAATTTTAAGAGAACAGAAAATGACTACATATGGATAATTTACTGTTTTAGCATAACTTAAATTAAGTTAAGATATGTCAACTTGCCCGATTAAAAAAATTTATTATCAAATTTGACTATTTCACTAATCACACTTGCCTCTTTATTTGGACAAGTGTGATTCTCAAGTTTTTTACTTCAATAAGTAAAGTAAGTTAAATTAAAATTTATTTGAATTTATTAACATAAATTTAGGTACACTGATAGATTTTTGTTATATATGACAATTACTTAACAAAGGAAGTACACAAATAATTTTATGACTTTTTAAGTTAAAAATAAAGTATACACACTTTCCTCACCTCACCTTAGTTGTTATTTGTTAATATCTTATTTTAAAATGATATGAAAAATCATTTCATATAAATAGTTAGATCATTTATTTTATCTCATAAATTTTATATTAATTTTGAAAAATCAATTAGTTTTTAGCTTCGATGCGAACCTGAGATGGTATTAATTTTACTGTGTTTTTTTTTTTGTGTCTTTTACCACTTTTTCTCAGCTCTTCTCGAAATGATTTCTTTCAACGATACGTCAAAGGATCACAAATCGTATCTAGTCAAAGACATTACTCTCAAAAATTTAAAAATTTCCCTCGTCCCCCGTAAATCTCCAAAAAAATTACAAATTTAAAAATCGCTAATATAAATCGTCATAACTTTTTGAAAAATGTATTTATTATTACAATTTATTTTTATACATCCATGAGATATTTACCTACCATTTTGTATATTTTTATAAATCTCACCCTACACCAGCCCAAAGGAGGAAAAATGACACCTTTTTCTCAAAAAATTAATTTTTCAACTTAATTTTTAAAAGTATCCCGGAAATACTGACACTATTATATATATATATATATATCTTATATTAAAACTGATATCATCTACTTTAACATTGAAAAAAATAATTTCAAAATTTATTTTGTCTTCATGGTAAAAATGACTACCTTAATAAAAAAAAATTATGCTCAGCTCTTAACTATTATATAGTTAATGATATTACCCTCAAAAACTACTTAGAAAGGATTACTATGATTTCTATTTAAGTGATATATTACAATAAAAATGCAAAAAAAAATATTGAGTTTTTTTGATAAATTTACAATAAATATATAAATTCCTAACTGCATATTAATTCTTATCAATACTGTTTTGTTATTCTCACACAATTTTCTTTTTAATAATTTAAATTTCAAACTTGAAGTTGAGCTAAAAGTTATGGTAACTCACTCGACTTACGTCGCAATAGTCCACACTGGTTTTGAGGGTAGAGACACGTGGGCCGTTTATTAATGAGCAACAACAGGTCAATTTTAAAGAAAGACAAACACAGCAATAATAATGTTCGCTTAATATCGCGGCACTTTCGCTGGCGTCGACAACGTGGTATCCTCGGTCGTGAGGTGAGCGGGTGCGGAGCCAGAGGCGTACATCCTCGACGTTGTCACGCTGACAACGGGAAGAAGACTTTGCACCGTGGCGTATGGCACGTGGTGTTGGTCAGTCAAATATTCATAGTAGGGGGACTGCTGATAAAAGTGGCACCGTGTATAACAAAGTGACGCGGGGCCGTCATAACAAATTCTACTCTTTTTTTTTTTTTTTTTTTTTTATAAACTTTCAAAAAATCAACTTAAAAGACTAAAAAATAGGTTGAAAATGATTTTTCGCACTAATTATTTTTAATATATGAAAAATAAAAATCTTTAATCATTAAAAAACAATTCTTTTGTGTTTTAAATCATTTTTTTATCGTCATAAATCATTTCAAAAGAAATATTCAGAATTATTTCCCTTATATTTATATCCTATAGTTTTTAACTAATTAGTAATAATATCAAAAATTATTGGTAATAGAAAATAATAATTGCTAATTTAAAATTAGCACGAAAAATGGAATAATAAAAGTATATTTTTCACTCTGATGCAAATTTTTGCGACCCCACTGTGCTACCGCTTTTTTAGAATTTACTAGTCACACAAAAATAGTCTTTAAATAATTTTTTATTATCTTTGTCATTTTTTTTTTTTTAATTTGAACGATTCTATACACAGGGAAAACACGAAAGAGGAACAGAAGACCAGCTCAACAATATCTTTGATTTTACTCTTACCAAACATGTATTGAGTTTAAATAAAAACGTTTTTCATTTAGCTATAGTTAAATAATAAAACGATAAAATAAGCGCTTAGGGTTTTAAACAAATGTGTACCAGTTTATAGTCATCCTGCAACTCAGAGCATTATTCAATGCATATTTAATGGGTGCTAACTTTTACTAATTTAAAGATACGTACCTATTTTTATTGATATTGTTAGAAATTATATTGTAACCTCTTTATTTAACATTCATACTGATATACATCAATAAATGTAAACATTGCTAACTTAACAGCATAGAAAAAATTTCAAGTTATTATGGAATCTAAATAATTCCAAATTTGATTGTATGATTGAGATAGGTTTGTTAAGTGTATTAAAGAAGTTAACTGAATTCAAATAAATAAAATAGTAACATTTATTAATGGTTATACAAAAACAAATTTTAGAAACAATATAAAAAAACAACTTTGTTGTGTATGATTATATCAATTTACACTTTTTGATACTTAAATTACCTCAATCAAATTACGTATCTTTTAGTTATCACACTGTATATGATAACACAGAATAAAATTATGTAATTAGAATTAGATTGACTGAAAGATCAATCTATACTAATGTAATAGTATCATGTATATAAAAAACACTTAAAATCTTTATTAAATAATTAAAATGTAGGTAATATTGTCATTTTATATGACATTTTTTTTGGATCGTCTGAATACAGAACACCCGTTGGTTGAATTATTCATTACTAAATATCCGTTTAGACACAGACACTATACTTAAAACATGCCTTGACGTACCTAAATGCATATCCAAACTCTGTATAAACGGTGTCTGCTAGTATAACATGAAAAATTATTTTTTACAATATAAGTTATAGTGTTTAAAATAGTATTTATCTAATTTAAGAAATTGAAAATTACGGTTTAAGTTGATAAATAAAAGGAATAATGATTTATTGAAATTAAGTCGTGTTACTAAACACATATATTTGCCATTTTGTCTATAAATTATTTTTTTTTGGGATAAATTTATTATAAAAGAAGAAAATAATATTAAGTTTTTAATATTCAAAAATAAATTATCTAGTATCTCGTTTTCAATAAATTATATTTTAACATATTTAAAATGATAAGTAAATTTTTGTTATTTACTTTTTTTATACTAGTAAGTTTTCATAGTGTTATTTCAAGTAAAATATATCTTAACTGCTATTGTAGTAAGTATATACTTTACAATTTGAAGACCAAAGTTATATATTTCAACGAAATTTTATTAGTAAACCCAACCAACCAAATTTTAATTGAAAATTTTGCCATGGGTCTTCAAACCTTAGGGTCGATTGTAGTAGCTATGTTTCCCCATATAAAAGATGAAAAAATAAATATATTAAGAAACTTGGAAGGGTTATGGTCTACAAATTTTTATTTGAATAATCTTTCAAATACATTATTATTGCCAACATATCAAAATGTAACAACTCAAACAAGAAAATTAAGTGCTCATGAAATTTTTATAGATGAATTTCAGAAAATTTATCCAATGTTAATTGCACAACTAGAACAAAACATTTTAGATACATGTTATGAAGGTAAACAAATTAAATCCCCCGATATTGTTAGTCGAAATCAATTTGCTGATAATAATTTACATGTGATTATTAATAATTTGTTACCGAAGCAGAAAAGGATTGAAACTATATTCATGGAAGAAAATATTGAAGAAACAATGCATGAAGTTAATGATACTGAAGTTATTTTAAGATTTCATTTTAATATAAAAATCGAAAACGAAGAAAAAAATTTGTATCACCCGGAAAACGTATTGTTATCTATATTATTTGATAAAAATAATTATGGAAGAACATTAAGTGAATTACATAATGTTCCAATTAATGAAAAATTGGAGAATGGAAAAATGGCCAACATGAAAGTGTTGTTTGACATGATTAAATACACTTTTGATGTCGACTGTGTAGAATCATTCCTACGCCAAGTTATAGCTGCAATAGTTTATCCTGTTTACTTGTGCGTTGGAAAATTTGCACTTATATTGCAAAAAATATTTTCTGATATATTTATAATAGAAAGCAAAGTAATTTTAAGAACAGAATTTGTTCATTTAATTGCAGAGAAAAGTATGAATATTTGTAGTATTATTAATGATTTGACACGAATTTGTTTACCAAATAATGTTCAAACACATTTAAAAGTCACTTTAAATCTTTTAGAAGGAATAATAGAAATAGTTAAGTCTCGACAATTTTCAAAATTAAAATCAGGATACATTCATGAACTTTATTGGAGATGTGCTAAAGCTATGGAATATAATTTAATTCACTTCGACACTGGAGTAGATAACTCTGATAAATACGACCAAGAAAAATGTGAAAAAATGTTAAATCAGTTAGATTTTAAAGTTGATAATATTAGTATGTCTTTCGATGTCACACGTTACGTTTACCAAAATCTGAATCTTAAAAATACATCAAATGTAGTCTTTTTTAAGGACGTATTTTCGGAGGAATTAAAATGTAATATTATCCAAAGAAATAAACAAGGTATGCCTTAGAACCTATACTAATACTAATAACAATCATTTTTATAAAATATATTTTTTTGTTCCCTATACATTTTATTATTTATTGATATTTTAAAACAGATCGTGGTGTTGATCAATAAAATCTTGTAATATTTAAAATGGTTTACTTAATGAGTTTATGAAAATAACTTTTACATACATTTAGAATGAAAACTTGCTTTATCAAATAAGATTTAATATGAAATGGATGATATCAAGTTCATTTTATTTATTAATTTAATAGTTTGTATACATTTCCAAAACTCTGAACCAATACTGAAAAAAAATTGCAAATAAAATTTTTAATTTTTAATATTCTGATATATTTGAAAAAAGATCGTTTTCAATTTTCCAATAACATTTTGGACATGATATAAATACCTAATCAAGTATGTCGAAGATGCTCTAAGGCAAACAAAAATATATTTTACTTTACACTGTACTACTGAATTTAATTGAAGAGGGGTACAATATGATTAGCAATGTGAAGATATATAAAATTAATATTTTGTTCTTATTTTTACAGGCTATCATATCATGAGGAAAAACTGAGCTATTCTGGACTATTTGCGATAGCAATAAATGAAGCACAAAATACATTATAATATAACGTTAAATAACAAAATTATTTTTAAAGTTATACTGCAATTATATTTAGTTGTTTTATACCTTTTTAAAAATAAAAATTGTAAATTATTCTGTAACTTTAATATGCTCAATAAAGTCATTTTCTGTGTAATAATTTGTTTACTTTACAATGTAAGTTCGTAAGATTACGACATAATGTCTAGAGCTGTTACTTTAAAAAATATTTTTATGAAATGATTTAATAAGTTAATAATTTGCAGTCGTTGAGTTCTGATATTGTGATTGGTGTAAGATTGCGTGTTCATAATGTTGTATTGGCGCCATACTGTAATTGTATCTTTACAAGTTCAAAGATAATTTTTTTTTTATTTAATAAAAAGAATTACTTTTCTAACAAATTTTTCATTTTATCTTAAGTTTCTCAGGAATTTTGAAATAAATATTAGATTTATTACGCTATTTTCAAATAACAAGAAATCTTTTTATAATTAATTTCGATTTAAAGAAGACTGGGGCAGATCTGAATGCAAAGTACATGTTTTGTGCTAGTAGCATTATTATGATTACCTTTAAAATTATAAAAAAAAAAAACTAATTGGCTACACTGTCTTACACATAATACTGTGTTATCAGCTACTTCCGACTATTAATCAGTTCAAAAAAAAAAAAAAAACTGTTCAAAAGTACAATTTTGCGACCCGTAATTGAGTTCCTGAGTTGTATTATGTTTTACGTTTATTGATATCATATTATTTTTGGTTTTTTGTTTACATTTTGACAAACATTTTCGTTTTAAACGTCAATTTTATAACATTGTCTTGTCCTGGATCCTTTATTATTAATTATTATAAGTATTATTAATTTATTATAACTTTCATTAATTTTAATATTATTCAGAATATTTACAGATATTCTATATAATAACTCAAATTTAAAAAAATTAAATTAATTATCCTTGAGTTAAATTTATATCTATTTAATCGTTAAATTTATAGTAACAGTGATATATTAAAACATCACAAAATACATTTTTGTTGAAATAATAATTAATAATTTGTATTAATATTATTGCTTTATGAATCATGGTTGTCTTGTTTATACTATAGTAACATTTGTCATAAACAAAAACCAAAGATTCACTGGTTGACACAGCAGAAATAAGGTTACTGAAATAATAAAAATTAATGTTAAAGGATATCGAAGTATCACATATATCCCGAAATTCTTGTACAGATTCACGTCTGTGAATATAAGATTAGAAGGCAACAAATGATCACTGCTTTAATAAAACAAAAAATAATATACACACAAGTCTGTATTAGTTGTAAATCTGTTTCTATGCAACTATTTAGTCAGTTTTTTTTAACCCTGCTTTTTATTTAAACCATTCAGTGAAGGTATTGTTATAGTATTTGACACGGCCACGGCGTTGTCACACGTTGACACCCCGCGGTCGTGTCAGCTCCTTCTCAGCCACCGCTTCACTGTAAACCGGACCGTCACACACACGCGTTATCGTCGTGGTGTAAAGTCCAACAAATGCCTAGCGTCGTATACCCCGCCGCAATAATACGTCTAGTTAGTCATCTTCGTGACACCACCGAACGTCCGATTCTCGAACCGCCTAGAAACGCACGAGTCGAAACCTTCAACTTTTTTTATTCACACTGTAAAAAAATCTGGTATTATTGGCATTTTCTGTTACATTGTTTTTTTTTTTTTTACTGTTATAACTTTTGTTTAATAAACGGCTCGACGCCATATTAAAACTAAACCCAACTCGTGTCGCCTGCATTATTTCTTCTTTTTTTTTTGGTGTGCACGGCACTGAAGTATTCACCGTAACAATTTATTATACATATAATTGTTTTCATTTATCTCTTATTATCCTGGTAAGATAAATGTTCGATTGTTATGATTCTTGCAGTTGATGTCACTATTATTAATTAAGATTCTTCACTCAAAACAACACATAAGCACTTAAAACTACGTAATATTAATTAATATATTAATTTGAGTGTATCTATTTCTCTGGTACTAAATAAACGCAAGGTTAAAATCGAATTTAAAAGTCTATTGAGATATTCTGTAAATCCCTATTGCGTATTTATATGGTTTGCTTCCCAACTTTCTAATATAGAATTTTAATGCTAATGCATTTCTAAATTCATAATTGGTAAAACCAACAATAATATTGCAAATAATAGTACTACCCTCGAGAGAAAAACTATGTCGTGACCCCAATGTGCTAGTTTAATTAAAACCTTTTTTTTTCCTGCACAAAATTTTTAGTCATATTAAAATATAACAATTTAATGTTTATGATATGCTAAAAAGTTTCAAATCACTTGTTGGAAATTTTGCCTTAGTGTTTTAATATAATAATAGCAAAGTAACTGTCAAATATTATACAACTTATTTATGCACAGTTTTATTTTAATTTACAAAGAATAGTATAATTTTATTAATTAAATTTTAAACACGAGTGACGGAAAATACTTTCAAAAGAATACGGAAACTTGAGCCACCAAAGAGTTTTAAAAACTAAATTATTATTATTTTAAGCAAATGCTTATATTTTATTAATAAAAGTATTGCAATATTTCTTCGACGGTAATTTGATTGTATCGCAGTACTAACAAACTTCGAAAATATAATGAGATTTATATTTATAGAACACGGCGTATTAGGTAGGCAATTCAAGTACGAAAAACTTCTATAATATGGTTTGAAATAAATGTGTTTGGCTCTACTAGCGGTTTAATTATTACTATGATATATTTTATTTTATTAAACTAAAAAACAAAATGTAGTTATTAATTATGTTTAGGTAATTTAGGCGCCTTAATGGTATTACGTTTATGAATATTTGTCTGATTAAGAAAATCACTGGACTAAAGATTAAATTAAGTCTAAAAAAACCAACACACCATTATTCCAGTTGACTATAATTAAATATAATGAGTTTTTATAGGTGATTGTTAGAATTTAACTTAATTCAGTGAACTGGAGTTATACATGAACTAATGTGAAACATGAAAAATGCTATATTCTTAAAATTATAGTATATGTGACGAAGTGAAGATAATAATATACGTGTATTATTGCTGTGTGTTCCAGGAAGAGCTTCTGCATTTGGGGGGATTGGGAGTTACTGAGAGTAAAGTGAGGTACAACTGAGTCACCCGTGTTTGCTACATCGATTTGTTCCGTGCAGACTCAGTACAGTTTTGTTTCTCATTCCAATTTTGTTTTATCCGCATGCCAAATAGTAGAGATCATAATAAGTTCTTTTATAAATCAATTATTAATCAATATATCTGCTTATAAGTCTGTCATTCAATGTTAAACATTTTTAAGTAAATAATCCTTTTGTTCGCATTTAAAAGAAAAATTATCAAAAAATTGCATTAAATATTTAATTTATTTTTTAATATGTATCCTAAGATACGCGTTTATATCAAAATATATTTCAATTTTTACTTATTTTTTGCTATTGAATAATGTATTTTTTTAAATTATTTTACGACTAAATAAATAGATGTTTAATACACATTATTCATTGCAATTATTAACTAAGAAGCTATTGATTTAATAAAATCATGTTTTTTACTATAGTTCATTTTCAAGTACTGAAATTATGAAATTTATTTTATGAGATTAGAATAATTTATTATAATTTTAAAATATATTTATGAATTCATTTAATTTTAAATATGATTTCAGTTTTAAATAACATTAGCCACAAGTGATCATTATAGATTTATTTAACAACAATGAAACTATTTAATAAATGTTCTTCAAATTATATTTCAATCTTTATTTTTTTTTTTAATGCAAGTAAAAAGATTTAATTTGATTTGCTTGTGAATTTTAGCTTTGTTTAAAGGTATAGTAAAATTATAAACAGAATATGTACATTTTATGAACTTTAATAGGCAATTGATTTTTTTGCACAAAATTTGATATAAAATTAGCAGTTTACTTTTAAGGTATTACAATAAAAGTATTTTATAAATGAACATCTTAATATCATCAATAAATTATGAAATACTTTATATCTATAAATATCTTATAATTATTGTAAATAGTTTAATAAAATAGTAAACACGTAATTTAAAAAAAATAGTATTTTTTGGTTAATATAAGCTTAAGATGAAATGAATACAATGATTGTATTGTTGATTTGAAATTAGTTTTAAATTAGAGCCCAACAGCATATTAGATGTTCTTTTCGGTTTAAAAAGAAGTATCGAACTAGATGGATAGACTTTTAGTACAAACTTTAGACGTTGAATTTTAGTTAGATTTTCTAACTTAATGTTTTTTTGAATAGAGTTTGAAATAGTTATAATTACTAAAAAAATATCTAATTCGGTATTTCCTTTAAAGGTTTGATAAATAAAAATTATTTTTCAGATGTCTCATTCTCCCATAAGTAAAACAACTTTTTACTTAATTTTTTTTAAAGGTAATACATATATATTAATATCATACATTACTTAGCAATTAAAATTTAACTACTAATGGTAGGTTAACTTATAAATAAATTTAATCTTGTTTAATATAAATGGATATCAATATCACTGTTTTCTTAGTTGTAATTGTTTTTATGATGGATTCTAATCAAAATTTGAGTGAGTAATTTATAGTTCTTAATTTTGGTTAACGAACAAAAACAATATGAACATATCGTTATTACATTTTCTTAATTGTACTTATTATTTTTTCAATTTATCTGAGCATAATTTAAATTGTAGTATGATAATTTATTTAATTTTTATTTATTATATTTGAGGTGTTATTTATAAACGTATTTTATCAGATTCTAAGAAACTAGAGAAAACTATTTCAGTTTGCAATATTTGTGCTCTAGATGAAGAACAAACAGTAACTTTTTTACCTTGTAAACACAAAATTGGTAATTTTTGTGCAAATACATTAAAGTTATACTATGGTTCAGACGTAAAATGTCCATGGTGCAAAGAATACGTAGTAGAGTATGTTAATATGGGTAAATATATATTCGCTAAAAACACTAACAATTTATATATGATATTATCTATATTTTTATCTAAAACTTTGATTTAATTTTATCATCATTAGACAAAATTTAATAAATAAGAGAAATATTTAATGGTAAAATAATATCTGATGAATAATCCACAAATAAGTTTTTGTTAAATATTTATTTTTCTTACTTAGAATAAAATTTAAACGTTTAATAATTTATTCTATTTTTTGTTAGTAAACAAAAAAAATGAAATAAATCTTAACAATTGTCAAATCTAGCATCTTTTTTTCAACCTTAATTTTAAACTGTTCAAAAGTATAATGTAATTTTTCGATGCGAAGCTGAGAAGGTATTAGTTTTACCATAATGTGTTTTTTTTTTTGTCTGTCACTACTTTTTCTCGTCTCTCAATGGACTGATTATTCTCAATGATACGTCAAAATATCACAAATCGTATCTAATAACAGTCACTGCCCTCGAAAATTGAAAAAAATTCCCTAGTTCCCCACAAATGGTGAAAATCCCCCAAAAAATTAAATTTATTTAAATTGATAAATTTTGAAATTTATTTTTTCTAAAAATTGCCATTACTTTTTGAAATATGAAAGAACCAAAATAATTTTTTTTATATTGAAACCTTAGGTATTACACTCTCATTTGATATACATTTTATGATAATCTAACCCTTTACCTAGTCACAGCTTATGTTACGAGCTATTAATCAAAAAAAAAAATTTTTCCCGACGACTTATCTTCTATATGCAAATGGCTGCCGTAGTTAAAAAATATGCTATTTTTGGGTTAAAATTGTATTTTTATTTTGTTTATTTTAAAATAATTTATAAGGGTTTGCCATAGTCCACCAATTTTTATAAAATTTACACAAATCTAACTAACTTTAAATATAAATTTATAATTATTTTGATTATGTTGTCTCTTCAAAGTTAAGAAAAGCAGATTTGAATTTTTGAACTAACTTAAATTGTTTTTTTTGCTTTAATTTCCTTTTAATGGACGGTGGCTGCGTCGAATGTAATACAGAGTTATAAGCTCGAGGTACTAAGTTCGAATCTCATCCGTTACGGTTTTTTGCATTTATTTCTTAATTCTTTTTTAAAATAAAAAAAAAATTCAATGTTTGTTTGATTTTTATCTCATTTAATTTGAATAACTTAAATTTTTTAGATTTTTTTCTTAGAAATTAGATTTTTTCTATCACTCATTTTTTGAGATTATTACTAATTAGAAACACATGAAAAAATTATTTAAAAAAAATTTATATCAAATTATTATTAGTTTTTAATATGTTAAAAGTAATCATTACAAAATTTTACTTTAATATAACATCTTTAACTTATTTTTTTGATCCTTTATAGTTCATTTGTATGAGAGTTTATAATTTCAAAATGTTGAACTTTTAAACATAATTTTAGTCTAAAATTTATATCAATAAATAGAAAAATTTGTGTGGAATAAAATTTCCTATTTTTTTATGTGATCAGAAACTTATTTAATTATTAGTAACAGTAAATTTATGAGGGAAACTCAATATTTCGTTAAAAATGTTTTATTTTATTTTTATTGTAATAAATTGTTTAAATAGGAGTCTTACTAAGCATTTCTATGTAACTCATAGTGTTTAATTAATTATTTATATTGATATACTGCAAATAATATCTTTTGTTTGTTACGTCTTCTTCCTCGCCTTAATTCCACCTACTTGGAGTCTGTCAAACTTATCTAAAACTTCCACTTGACACGATCTCCCACATCATCTATGCTCACATCAGCTGTCCTCATATTGCATTCAATAGCATCCATCCATCTCTTTTTTGGACTTTCTCTACCTCTTCTTCCTTCAACATTCATTTCTATAACTGTTTTTACAGCTTCCGATTCCTCTCTCCTCATAACATGACCAAACCAACCAAGTCTATTTTCTCTCATCTTATCCACAATTACGCTACACCTATACTCGCTCTTATATACTCGTTCCTTATCCTATCTTCTTTAGTCACTCCATTCATCCATCTAAGCATTCTCATCTCTACTACACTCATTTTCTTTTCTATTCTCTTGTCAACCACCTACTACTCTGAATCATACAATATAGCTGGTCTCACTACAGTCTTGTAGAATTTAACTTTTAGCCTGATTGGAATTCTTTTATCGCATAAGATGTCTGACGTTTCTCACCACTCCAACTACTTACACTCAAACCTGTGTCTTACATCCTCGTCAATTACCACCGCTCTTTTGCACAACTGACTCTAAATACTTAAAACTTCTCACGTCTTCAATCACGTCCTGGTCTATTGTCACTGATCTTCTCATTTCACCTACCTCGTGTTCTCCTATGTCAAACTCGTACTCTATATACTCTGTCTTACTCCTATTTATTCTTAAACCCTTTTCTTTAAGAGCTAATTTCCATACCTATAGCCTTTGATTAATTTCCTCCCTATTTTCTCCTATTAACACTATATCGCCACCAAACAACATGCACCAAGGCACCTCTCCTTGTATTTCTGTAGTAATTTCATTCATAACTATAGAGAAAAAGTAAGGACTTAAAACAGAACCTTGGTGCACTCTTACTCTTATCCGAAAACCTTCTGTTACTTCTCCTACGCTTTTTACCCTGGTACAAGTGCCATCATAAATTTCTTCTATTATATTAATGTACCTTGTCGGGACTTCTTTTCTCATTAATACCCATTATAAAAATTCACTTGGTACTCTATCATACGCTTTCTCTAAATCTATAAATAACATACACAGTTTTTTCTTTTCTTTAAACCTTTATATAAGTTGCCTCACATAAAATACTGGCTCCATTGTTGACTTACCAGGCATAAATCTGAATTGATTTTTAGATACCGATATCTCATTTCTTATTCTCTTATCTATTACCTTTTCCCAAATTTTCATACTATGACTCATAAGCTTTATGCCTCTATAATTTCCACACTCCTGTATGTCACCTTTATCTTTAAATATCAGCACCACAATACTATTCCTCCATTCATTTGGAATTTTCCTTTCTAATAAGATTTTATTTAAAAGTTCCTTCAACCACCTTATGCCATCAACGCCTAATAAATGTCATACTACTACTGGCACTTCAACTCGTCTTTCTATTGCTTTATTATTTTCCATTAATGCCACAGCCTCCGATACCTCTTTCTCACTTATTAAATCTATCAGTCTCTCACACTTTTGCAAGTCTATACATTTTTTTCTCGCCTTCCTTTGTTCCTAGTCTATCATATAACTTATCATACCTCTTAAACTTCGCCTTACTTACTACACACTTGGCTCCTTTGCACAAGCGTTTATACTATATCCAATCTTCTCTCCTTTTGCTTTTTTGTCATATTTTGAATTGCTTTCTATGATATTTCGAACGTCCTCATCCCACCATCCAGTTTCCTTGTTTCCTAGCATTCTACTCTTACTCTCACCAAAAATCTCCTTTGTAATAATCTTTACACAACTAGCAAATCTATTCCACATATAATATTTGTCTTCCTCGTTATTCAACACAGTTCTTTCTTCTATCGTCTTTAAAAACAGTTTTTCTTTTTCTCCTTTCAATCTACACCCCAAGATCCTCAATTCTCCTCCTGTTTTTGTATACATTCTTCCCAATACACCTCAACTTTATTACCAATAGTATATATTGTGTAATAACTCTCTCGTTTGGGTAATCTTTACAATACTTTACTTGTTTTACACTCTCTTTCTTCCACATAAAATAATCAATCTATAATCTATTACTGCCACCTTTATAAGTTATAAAATGTTCTTCTTTCTTTCTAAAATAAGTATTAACCACAGCAAGATCATACGATACTGCGAAATCCAGAATTCTTTTTCCAGCTTCATTCTTCCTACTAAAACCATACCTTCCGGTTACTCTTTCATATTATATCCTCTCATTATCTACATTTTCATTCATATCTCCACCTATTAGCGCATCCTTATTGTCAGGTACCCCTTGCATCACCTCGTCCATCTCTTTTCAAAACACTTCCTTGTCTATTTCATCACATCCTACTTGTGGTGCATAAGCACTTATTACATTCAGCACTTTTTCTTCGAATATCAATTTTATGACTATAATTCTGTCACTTTTCCTAGCTACTTTTACTAGTTTACTTTTCATTTACTCGTCTATTTTTATCCCTTCACCATTCTTTGTACTAGAATTTCTTGAGTATATTATTTTATAACCCTCACTTATTTCCCTCAATTTCTCTCCTTTCCACTTAGTTTCCTGCACACAACAAATGTTAACTTTTCTCTTCTTCAATACTTCTACTAATTCTCTATTTCTACCAGTTAATTTTCCAACATTCCAAGTACCTATTCTTATTTTGTATCTAGCTTTCTCCCTTATACAAGAGTACAGCCTAGAGTTAAGTGGTGATGTCCCTACACGTTGACTCTATAAGCGTTGGGTAGACCTGTACACATGACTAGTGAAACAACTACCGCACAAGTTGTCCGACTGGTATCAAACACTTTATTCCTTAGGACTTCTCTGTTTTAACTACTTTATTTCCTCTCACCTGTTGTCCCCACGTACATCCGAGATGGAACAATTCACCTAAGTTTTGTTCAGGACACCTCATACTACTTGACAAAAAAATTTTACGCCGACTATCAACCTGACACAACCTCATTAGTCGCCCTATCAACAGGGAAAGTTTCTGATTGTTACGTATTTTTATAATTAAAATATTGTTATTGATTATTCATATGTAACTTAATAATGAAACTTAAATATTTTTTATATAATTAATATGATTTTGTTATTATTAAATTCATATATGAAACTCTAATTACAGATTTGAAATAGGCTCAAAAATGGTGTTTAAAAAATTATATTTTGGTCTCTGATGAAAATTTCTTATATACTTTATTTATAAGTAACAAACAATTATTTTTGAAAAGTATGACATCAAACTCTTCAACTTTTATACATGTTTGGCATAAAAGTAATATCTGCTTTATAATTTGTTATAATTTTTCCATAAAAATTACAATACTAAATTATCAAATATCAATTTAATATTACGTTGAATTGCTTAAATAGATATTTACTCGTATATTATACTTATAAATCATAGAACTACTAATTAGGAATAATGACAGAAATAGGAGTAAATTTGCTTGCTTCATCACAATTAAATTAACAAAAAAAGATCATAAATTAAAAATACCTGTGTTGATAAAAGATGTCCTTTATTTTTTAATAATTAGTGTTAAGTAACCATATGCTTAATATTGAGAGGCAAAGTTTATGTTTCCCGAGTGGAAATTTTTGTAATACGGACATCAAAACGAATCTTATATTTTTAGTTGAGAACAAAATATGTTATATTTGTCAAGAGGAAGAATTGAAAGTTAAATTTTTATCATGTAAACACCAAATTGGAAATAATTGTGCCAACAGATTATATAAATTAAAACATTTAGATTGTCCATTTTGCTTATTGAGTATAAATATTTTTCGTGGAATACGTAAGTGCAAAAATATTGTCTATAATTAAAATTTTTATCATTAAGAATAATTGTTTTTTTTTTTCAGAAAAACCTCCTTATAGTATGTATTTCTAAAAATAAAATGGCCATATCAAATCAATAAAAAAAAAAATGAAATTATAAAAATATTTTTAGATTTACAAATTTCTGTTTCTGTTTTGATTTAAAAAATTTTACTATTAAATGTTCCTCTATATATTAAAATATAATGAAGAACAAATTCTTTGTCTTATACAAGCTAATCGATTTTGAATGAGGTACACGTTTCTGAGAAACTATTGATCATTTATAATTTTTGTAAGGACAAAACTTTTTTCAAATAATTTTTTCAATTATTTTTCATCTCTTAAGGAATAAAAAAACTTTAACTTTAATTTTCTCTAGTGGAATTCTCTATTTTTATTTGATAATATGATAAAAATTACAAATAATTTTAGCTTCGATGCGAATTAATTTTACCATGATGTGTTTATTTTTTTATGTCTGTTGCCACTTTTTCTCAGCTCTCACTGGACCGATTTCTTTTAAAAATACGTCAAAAGATCACAAATCGTATCTAGTTGAAGACATTACCCTTAAAAATTGAAAAAAATTCCCTCGTTCCCCGCAAATGGGGGAAATATCCAAAAAAATTACAAATTTAAAAATCGCTAATTTTCGAAATTTTTTCACTTTTTTTTCTTAAAACTTCCATAACTTTTTGAAAAATCAACAAATTAACATAATTTTGTTTATACTAAAACCTTAGATATTTACCTTTCATTTGATATCATTTTTTTGAAAATCTATCACTTAACTTGCTCATTGGGAGGGATTTAAAATAGCAACTTTTTTACAAAAATTAACTTTTTCAACTTAATTTTTGAAAATGTTCCGGAAAGACTGCGTCCTTTAAACATATATCAAATTAAAGCTTTTTTTATGTACTATAAAATGAAAAAAAAAAATTTGTCCCGACACTTTATCTTCTACATTTAAACGGCTGCCGTAGTTAAAAAAACACTATTTTTTGTTAAAATTTTCGATTTTGGATTTTAAATTTTCAACTTAAAAATGCTATAACTTTTTGAAAAATGTATATATCAGCACAAATTTTTTTTCTAAATAGATTATAAGTACATTTTTCATTTGACATATTTTTTATTAAACTTGAACAATTTCCCCTTATATAGGGGGCGTTAAAAATTTGAAATATTATAAAAAACATAGATCTTTTTCAACTGAACTTTTGAAAATGTTCCGGAAATACTGCGTCCTTTAAACATATATCAAATTAAAGCTTATTTCATGTACTATAAAATAAAAAAAAATTTGACCTATCTTCTATGTGCAAAAGGCTACCGTATTCAAAAATATGCTATTTTAACAAATTTTTTTTTTTTAATTAAACACTATCTACAGATTTGCATCGAAGCGTTTTTTATGATAGTGATTTTAATCACTGTCAGATNTACAGATTTGCATCGAAGCGTTTTTTATGATAGTGATTTTAATCAATGTCAGATATCAACTATACTGGACCCAACTATGCCACGACCCCACTGTGCGGCCACCCCACTGTGCTGGGTTTTTTAATTGACCGATCGTTTGAAAATAGTTTAAAAATTTGGATTTAAAGTAAAAATTTCATCATTAATATGGTTTTCTTAAAACTGGAAGCAGCAATAATTTGTTTCAATATGTCATAAATTATTATTTTAGTTAATATTCAATAAAAATTGTCCACACCGGAGGCGATACTAATGTGAACAACCTCTCAAACAATTCATTGTTATAAAAGTTTATATCATACTAAGTATGTATTGTATTAATAGATAATTGAGATTATAAATTATAAAATAATGAATAAAAATATAAAAAAAATACAATTATTTGTAAATTTTTGTCTATCATATTAACAAGTAAAAAAAAAACCCAGCACAGGGGGGTCGCGGCACAGTGGTGACGTGGCATAGTTGGATCAAGTATAATGATATCTGACAGTGATTAAAATCACTATCAAAAAAAAACGCTTCGATGCAAATCTTTAGATAGTGTTTAATTTTAAAAAATTGGTGGATTATTCCAAAAGCTTCATAAACTGCTAGTTCCTTATTAATATCCTGATTAAGACAAAGTATGTAGAATAAAAAAGAGATTATTAGAAAATAGTATTTCCCATAAAAAAATTATATTGATCAATACACTTTTCAATAAGTTATAGCATTATAATGTTAAAAATGTAAAAAATAAAATTGAGAATTTTCACACAATAATAGCATTTGGTAGCCATTTTCACCTTGAAGATAAAATAAAGTCCGAAATTTTTTTTTTCCATGATAAAGTATATTACATTAGCTTTAATTTAAGATATATATAAAAGTGTCAGACTTTCCGGAACACTTTCAAAATTTAAGTTGAAAAAGTCAATTTTTTGTGAAAAAGTTGTCATTTTGAATCCCCCCCTGTAGGCAGGTAAAAAGTCAGATTTATAAAAAAAATATACCAAATGATAGGTAAAGACATCATGCATCTACAAAAAAAAGAATTATATTGATCCATACATCTTTCGAGAAGTTATAGCATTATAAAGTTAAAAATATAAAAAAGAATTTTTTTACAAAAATCGTATTTTTTTTATTAAGTTTAATGTCTGTTTTCACCATGAAGATAAAATAAAGTCCGAAATTTTTTTTTACCATTATAAAGTATATTACATTAGCTTTAATTTAAGATATATATAAAAGTGTCAGACCTTCCGGAACACTTTCAAAAGTTACGTTGAAAAAGTTCTACTTTCTATATGCATTTTTATGTTTTGAATCCCCCCTGTATTTAGGGAAATGGTCCGATTTAAAAAAACAGTATGTCGAATGAAAGATCTATATAAATACTACTTCTCATAAAAAAATTGTAATGATTCATACATTTTTCAAAAAGTTATAGCATAATAAAGTTAAAAATGGAAAATACAAAATCGAAAATTTTCACACAAAAATAGCATTCGGTAGCCATTTTCACCATGAAGATAAGATAAAGTCCGAAATTTTTTTTTTTCATGATAAAGTATATTACATTAGCTTTAATTTAAGATATATATAAAAGTGTCAGACCTTCCGGAACATTTTCAAAATTTAAGTTAAAAAAATTAATTTTTTGTGAAAAAGTTGTCATTTTAAATCCCCCCTTGTGGGCAGGTTAAGGGTTAAATTTATGAAAAAAATATACCAAATGAAAGGTAATGATATTATGCATCTATATAAAAAAGAATTATATTGATATGTTTATTTTTGAAAAAGTTATGGCACTTTTAAGTAAAAAAAATTGAAAAAATTTCGAAAATTAGCGATTTTTAAATTTGTAATTTTTTTGGAGGTTTCCCCCTTTTACGGGGAACGAGGGAATTTTTTTCAATTTTTAAGGGTAATGTCTTCGACTAGATACGATTTGTGATCTTTTGACGTATCGTTGAAAGAAATCCGTTCGGTGAGAGCTGAGAAAAAGTGGTAACAGACACAAGAAAAAAAAAAAAAAAAAAAAAAAAAAACACATCTTAGTAAAACCAATACCTTCTCAGCTTCGCATCGAAGCTAATAAGCATACCCGTTAATAAAAATTAAAGTTCATCCCGGAATGAATGAAAAATGTTCGACTACATAATATTGTAGAACTTTTTGACACAAATAATTTTTCTTTTTAAAAAAATTAAAAACTTGATTGGTTTCTTAGAAAACAAATATCTTACTCAAAATTGATTATATTATACATGAATATTGTAATAATTTATTATTTCTTAATGGGAAATAATTTAAATTAAAATTTTATCGTGTAGACCAAGAAATGAATTGTATTTGTGAGATGGAAAAAAATTCAATAACTTTGAAACCTTGTAATCATCGTCTAGGATATATTTGTGCAAATACTTTAAAATCTTGGTATATTAGAACACAAAAATGTCCAACATGTCAATCAGATATCAAAAGCTATGAAGGTTTATCGTTTTATTTTATTAATGTCGTTTTACTTATCTATAATATTAATGAAAATAACTCAAATAAGTTGTTTTTCTTACATTTATAAATATTAATTTAATATGGTATATTGATAATTTAGATGACACAAATAAAACACCAAGTATATTTCAAAAATCATATAGTCGTTTAAAAAGTTTTAGTAAGATTGGAGAATGTGTCAATAATATATTAGATAATCATCTTGATAAATCAATAGAACTTTATTATGAATGAAAATAACGGCCTGTATTAGTTAATAGTTATTACTATAAAAAAAAATACAAATGTATAGAGAGTGATTTTTTTATCATAATCTACTCAATTACTGACAGAATAAAAATAATTCAATCATATTCTTTTTTTTTTTTGATACCCTTAGTTATTATTCTTGAATTATTAGCTATGTAATACTTTTTAAGTTCGTTCCTTATGCCTTGTAAGAGAACACAATTTTTTTTTCAAATGAGATCACAAATTTTGAATTTAATAAAATGTGTAAAGTTTTATTTCAATAGTACTGGCATTTGAATTTTTAACATAACCTAATTTATTAATTACATATAAAATTTTAATTTTTCAATTTTTTAAGTAAATATACGTGTATAATATACAAGGGATTACAAATACAGGAAGCTAATTGGTTTTTTATGACGTCGCTAACACAGATACAAAGTGTTTATTGTCAATTATAACTTTATTAACAGATATGCTTAAAGTGTGGTTATAAAGCACATTGTTGTGAGTAAATATTTATAAATACACCAACTGGCAATGCAGAATACATATCTATCGATAGTTATATTTGATAATAATAGTTGCGTATTACGAATAGTAACGTCATAAAAAAACTATTATTATTAACTATAATTATTGTATTATATTATATTATAAATTTTATATCTAATAAACAAATAACGTTTACAAAAAAAAAAAAAAATACTATGTAAAAATTTAAATACTATTTACTATTAAAATGATACCTCAAACATTTTATTAAATTTAAAATATGTGTTCTCATTTGAAAAATCAAAGTTGACAACTTTACAAGGCATAAAAAATGAATTTAAAATGTATTACATAGCTAATAACTTTTATCAAATATTAATAAGTTTTTTTTGTATTGTTAATTTTTTTAGTATCAAATGTTTTTTGTTAGATAGAATTTAAATTATTATCCTGAAATAAAAAAAATTTATGTCTATAATTATGGTTCTATTATTAAAAAAAAGATAAGTAAAATTTTGATTTTTTAAATTAATAAACAATTCTGATTTTATTTAAAAAAATTCCATATTTACATCCTTTAGTTACCTAACTTGCATATCAAAGAAAAAAGGCGATTTTACTCTTATTTATATTATGTGATATTATAAATAATATCACATAGTTTTGCATGGTTTGTTTTTACTATTCAGTGTACATAATTTATATCATACATAGTTTGTCCAAAAATTTAATTCATAAGTTTCTATAGGACACAAGATAACTTTATTTTTTAAGTTTGTGTACCTTTCATGTAAAGCAAGCCACATATTAAATCTAGGTATTATAATTAACTTATGAAATTAAAAACTATTTTAACAATATTGGTATGTCACTATAATATTGAAAATATTTACAGACATTTAAAATTAATCCTCAAGAAAAATGTGCTTAAGTAAATTTACATTTTTTTTTTTTTTGTAACAAAAATTCAGACTAGAAACATAATTTTAAAAAATTATAAAAAATGTAACTTGTAATGTTGGAAATTTTATTATTGATTATTGATAACAGTTAAATCCCATAGAATAATAAGACGGTATAAATAACTAACATATTTGCTAGATAATAAAACATTGGTAATTAAAAAAAACACTAAAAAAATTCAGTCTATTAGAGGTAAAAAGTTCTAACTTTACAGTATAATAAAATTTATTTTGTTTAAAATCATTAATGGAAGGACACTATTTTATGTTAAACTATACTAAACATGATAGTGCAAAATGTTACTGTTTTACTGGTCGAATGATTTATTTGCCATAAATTCATCAAGTATTTGCGTGGATCAAGAGTGTAATTTAACATCATATAACAACACCAAATAATATTTTCTTCATTTTCGTTATTTTTTAAATAGTCACGATTTATAGGACAATAATGTAACACTTGTTCTCAGTGCAACTAAAAGCCATTATTCTCACGATGGCGCTGCTAAGATAATATCGAACAGAGTTAAAAACGTTCAATACCAAGTCATGAAAACCATTAAATTACGATAACTGCAAAACGGCGTGCAGCATCGGTACGAGAGTATTAAAACTATAGACACACTGTAAAAACACAAACAATCATTTCTATATATATGTATTATTTAATACAGCAGCCATGATGTAATCTGAACATAAGTTGGATTCGTTGATAGTGATAAATTATTTTGTTTGAGGGTTTGTTCGTAATGTGTTTTACCATTTAAACAATATCGCTTTTTAAGCTCAAGCGTGTTGTTTTTTTTTTTTGTTATATACCCCAAAAAAACTCAACAACAACTTAATCGAATATTACTAAAACTGTCATTCATCATGATATTCCCTTTTTAATTTTAATTTTTTGGCACGAGCATTTTACATGTATATAAATGTATTTATATATATATCTATCAATCAAAAAATCTGTTATTTTTTACACGGCACATTACAGCGTGTACGTGTATTTTTTATAAATTCAATTTGCTTTCTATACAGGCCGCGAAGAGCGAGATGGGGTTGCGCAATATTTGCTGATGTCATTTAGGGGTAATTATTATTATTGGCTAATGCCTGGGAAAGGGTAGCAAGTTCATTCAAATTCTCCACTCAGTCGGTTGTATCCACCTCCCCTGTTGGTCGTCAGTCACTATACGAATCAATTCGAAAATTGTCGGATGTAGCGGCAGCACTGAACGAATAGTAATTAATCATATAAATTGTTGTCGTATATTATTATATATACAGTCATGTCAACCGCCATCGTGGCTAGATTGTTTGGTTTTTAAGGCATAGCGATTGTGTATGTAGTGGTGTAACCGTGCGTAAGGTTTCTGTGGTAACTTTCATTAAAGTAGGTGTTTCCCCCTTTAAACTTGGATTGAACTACAATATCATCTTTCATTTCCTCTCTAAGTATATCCACTAAAAACTTTGATTAAATACATCGATAAAAAACATAATAATAATAACAACAACAATAAACAATTGAAACGACATACGATGCGCGAGTCCTCTTGGCTCTTGCACTTATAAAATACTTGTGAACTCTTTGTTGCCGAATCCAATCTATAATATTTTCAACTCTTTTAGAATCGCAAACAACCTGTGTGATATTTTCTGTTGAAAACCACTCATCTTTGTATTGTATTCGCTATTTTTGATGATGGAGTATACCAAATTCAAATAACTCAGTAAGTTCCCTGTTAGCTGTAATTTAAAATCACTCCAAGTTCATATGGTAATTTGGCGATATTTTTTATCATAAAGAAAGGTACTTATAATCTGACAAAAATAAGTTGTAAACCAACACAGTCCTACAGTTAAACAATAAAACGCTAATCACTTATACTTTCAAAAAATTCTACTCGTATATAATAACTAAAAAAAAAAAAATGAAAATTTGAAAATTTTGAAAAATACTTTTTGATAATTATATTTAATGAAATATTTTGAAATTAAAATTTGTCCTACGTTAATATTTTGTAAACTTTAGGTGTATAAAAGTCAACGAGCATTGTTTCTTGTCTGGTGGTAATGAAAAAGCAAAGTCATCATATATATTGTTTTATCAAAATAGATAACATCTATAATCTAATAAAATATATTACATGGTTATGAACAATGTAAATAGACTGTTGTAATATTTTTATAATTGAACTATGCTCAATCAACTTGTAAACCTCTTGTTAAAGCATCTATTTTGTATATGTGTAATACGGTTAGCTGATTGTACGGTTGAATCTATAACTATAGTTGTTTATGAATATATTGGTCTCTATAAAAATTATTTTTCATATCTTGCTCTGGTCATACTGAAACTTTTGCTATCTGACTATTAAAATATTTTCTTAAAAAATGTATTTCATAAAATGTTTTGAGCAAAAATAACTATGCAAATAAAATAGTTTTAGTTGTAAAATTCATGATAAATTATTAATTTAAAAGGGAAAAAGTAGTTGCTTTTTTTGTGACAAAACAGTATTTGATTTTTCTTAGTCATCAGCAAACAAAATGATAACACTTCTTATAAATGGGATAAGAGAGTTCAGATATGACTTGCGTTATAAATCAAGTACAGGTCATAAAAAGTATTACATAGAGAAATACATTTTTTGTTGGGTGATCGGGGTGCTTGATAAACAAACGGGACGACGATGTCAAATCTGAGCTGCCACGGTGATGGGCTGTATCGTCATTGGCAAAGTCATGACATAAATGATAACTATAATAATAGGCTTCGGAAATCCCATAACAACCACTCGACCCGGTTCTATCATTGTTTGGGTCTGCAAAATTAATTAATCTCGTCCTCTGCGCTCGCTCATTGTGTGTCATATTGTTTCAACCGGTGTTCTATCGTCGCGCCATCATCGGTGGTTACATTTTAATAACAATCCACCGTAGTCACAGTATATATTTCTCCACGTAAAAACCCGGCCATGAGAATTCTCTGGGGCGGACACCGCAAATACAATGCCTTTAACGTTTTCTGGGCTTGTTTTTTTATTGAAAGCTTCGAAGCAAAATTATTAATGTTCGCTGTCAAAAACTTCCAAGAATAAAAAATTTCAAAATAGATTTTCTGTCATGACATTACGCATTCTCAAAATTTATCTTTATTCATAAAGACTATTCCGCAAGGTGAAGAATCCAATGAGTTATCTCAACCAGTACTCTACGTGGTTTTTGTGTAACACATACGGTTATGATTTTGTTTTGTTTTATGTTATAGTATTACTCATATAATAGAACATCATCAACACGTTTAGGTGTTTAAAAAATCGACGTAGACATGTACAAAATAGAAGCTGTAGATAAGGGTCGATAGGGAAACGTGCGTTGGCGTTAAAAAAAAGTATATATATATTATTATTGGAATAACTGTGACGTTATGGTGTTGATACTCGCATGCCCATGTTATGTATTTGGTCCGCTCATTCGTGTAAAGTTGCAATCTTTCAACGGACGTTTTCTCCTCCAGCTCGTATGTACACATTGTAAATCGTGCGCGAAGAACAAAATGTAATATATCTATGTATGATAACAGAACAAAACAACTAAGAAAAAACGCAATACACACGGTAACAACCCTAACGGCACATGTAGACGTTCGGAAAATGTGAAAAATGAAGTAGCGGTTAATGCATTACATAAGACGACTGGGGAACCCTACGGGGTTTTGATTATGTTCTCAAAGCGATTGAGTTTCGTTTTCAGAGAAAATTGCTCGCCTTACGCCAACGAAATATTTATATAAATATATATATATATGAATTATGTGCCGCCCGGAACTGCCCCCATTTACTTTTTTAACGTACCATATTATTTATTATTGTTATTATTATCATTATTTTTCGATAAATTGGTAAACGAGTTTTGCTCTACAACACTACTAGTCCGCGTGTTTTGCCGCACCCTAAGGTCATTTCATATTATTTCTGGGTAAAACGATAAATTAATACTTGCCTGCATTTAATCCAGAAACCATTTTTTGTTTTTGTCTACCTAAGAAATAGAGCGTCCCATACGGTAGGTGCCGGTCAGACTTACTACTTACTAGATGGCACACAGTTTGTTTGTAATAAATGCGTATGATTAGTTTGTAAATGGATAACTGAACCGTTTTAGGATTAGTACTCGATTTTGGGTGCCATACGCCATGATATATATTTTTA